TTAGCAGAAGATGCTTAAATTGCATGTGAGTGGGGTTGAGTCTGGATCGGGAAATAAATCCTTGCAATTTGTGAAGTGGACAAGCAGTATGCATCACTTCTGCTCCTTGGTATGGACATTTCCCTCGAAACTGTTCCTCAGAACACGAGGGAGGAGGCACCAAGAGAGCAGTTAGTGGTATTGCCATGGAAACATCAAAACAATTTTTTGTTTTTTGTAGCTCATTTATTATCTTCTCAATTTTTGACATTCTTATTTCTCAGCCTAAAAAAAATGACTGCATTGAACTACACTTTTTCCAAGAAGAGAGTTTATTTTCCATGACAAAACCACCCTCTTATTGATTAGTCATTTCTAACCTCTTACCTGAACTGTTTTCTTCTGCTCAAAGCCCAGTGCCAGACAATAAATTTCCAAAACAATCATACACAATCCATGAGATTTCATGGGAACGTTGAAAACAGTTCAGAGATAAGGGATAGACAGTTATGTTTATTTACAGCACCCCAAAAAACTTTGGATGAGGGCAGAATGATACAGGCAAAAAAAAGTTTTCTTTAATATTCTCTTCTATGAACAAAATAATAATGATGTTTTTGAATATTTATCTTTTGTTTGGTTACTCCCTATTCATGCATTTGCTCATTTAATTGCCACGTCAGCACGTTGAAGAAATTATTATTTTCCCTTTTTTACTAGTGAGTTAAGTGAAGCTCAGTAGAGAATCACTTGCCTGACATCCTCCAGCTAGTTATTAATGGAACTTGGATTTAAATTCTTCTGTCATTTGAAATAGCTTTGATTCCACAGCTCAAAAGTGCTGAGCTCTGTCCTCATCTACTTGCTCTTTTGGCTTTACTTTTCAGTTCACCTGCACACACAAACTATTTTTCTGTATTTTGATATATTTGTGTTTTTCCTGAATCAAAGTAATGAGGCAATTTTATGAAGAAAAATAAGAAAGAAAGTGCAATGTAGTTTTTGAGGATTGTCAGGTCAATGTATTTAGAATAAAAAATTCTCGTGTTCATGTTTTTCTAGGCAATAGGAAAATATCAGGACCTCCTTTATTTTTAATATTCTTTTTAATGTTTTTAAAGAAGTAGAAATTAAATTAAATCTGTTACGTTACCACATATGCGGAGTGTAAATGTATTAAACATATGCATTATAATTACCAAAACCTGTAAATACTTCATTCACTAGCCATAAACCTTATATACATTTACTACTTAAATACACATATTTTTTTCACTAATATGTATTAAAACACACAATTAATGGCCTTGTCGAATTTATTGGACTTTATTCTCCGGTCCTGCTTGACAAGGGAAATTATTTCTACTTCATTATTCTACATAGTCAGGGTCATGCTTAAAGTTTAGCACATTATCAATGACAAGTGGGAACTCAAAGTGTTACTATTAGAAGAGTGAGAAATTCTTGTAATTCTCCTGCTTTTGTATTTGATGGAATAGTTTAATCAGAAATTTTTAGAAGAAATTCTGCATTAATAAAAATCAAAAAATTTTGAGCTTGCTAACTGTGATTTTATTTTATTTTTTTTTGAGTTGGAGTCTCACTCTGTCACCCAGACTGGAGTGCAGTGGCCGCTCCCGGCCACCGCAGCCTCGACCTTCTGGGCTCCGGCGATCCTTCTGCCTCAGTCTTCCAAGTAGCTGGAACTACAGGAGCGCGCTACCACGCCTGGCTAATTTTTTGGTTTATTGTAGAGATGAGGTCTCGCCAACTTGTCCAGGCAGGTCTCGAACCTGTGGGCTCAGGCAATCCACTCACCTCAGCCTCCCGAGGCGCGGGATTATAGGCTGAGCCACCGAGCCTGGCTTAACTGATTTTTTAATATTCATTTTTTTGTTTCAAATATCAAGCAATTTGTTATTCTTTTGTGTGCTTTGTAGGGGCTGAGTTCATTTACTTGGTCAGATCTTCGTTTCTAAGCTATTGGCAGGATCTAGAAAAGAATATGAAGTTGGCTGCTGTGCCATAAATGTCACCATTATGAAGTTGGCAGATGTAACACAGTACTGAACTTGCTAAAAAAAAAAAAGTGCTACTGGATACTGTAATAATCGTTTACTTTATTTTTTTTCTCATACAAATGATTTGAATATTGTACATTGTCCAAATGCAAAATTATGAAAACGCAATATTTTATTTTATTTACTTTCTCTTTTTAAAACTAGAACTTTTAAAATGGTGCAAGTCTTTTTGATTTTTTTTCAGATAGCTCTAAAAATATTTTGGTTTTTTTAGTGCTGATCAAAATGTAAAAAACATCCTAAAATGTTTTAACCATCTGAGTCAGTATTTGTCTGCAAACAATGTAAAGTTTCACAATGAACTTTAACATCACAGCATAGAGAAAATTTTGAAGGTAAGTTTTTCTAAACCTTAGCAAATATGAAAACACTGGCATAACTGTTTAAAATGAGTTCCAAGGAAGTTGATTTCTATGTACATCATCTATATTTCTAACAGTCAGAATGCAGACAAAAGGAACATAATCTTAACTTTTCCATGTTTTACTTTTATGGTTAATATTGTTTACATTTTTAAACCTAAATTTTGCCTATATGTCTCAAGAGTCATGAATATTGAATAAATGATGTCAATTTTTTCTAAAAATTACAGAAATATACTATGTGGACCTAGAGTATGTGTCGCAATGGAACAAAACAACAATAAATCCACTCACAAATACAAAACCAAACAATACAACAAATTGAGACTTCATTTTTCTTTTGAAATATCTTAGCAAATTCACCTTTTTTTCCCATGTGTGTAGGCCGAGTTGTTTTTCAAATGTACTTTGAGGATAGTTACCTACATTAAATTTGAGGACCAAACTACTTTCATAATCTATAGCTGAATATGATCACATACGTCGAAACTGTTAATTAGTGCTAGTACCATATAGTTAATAAATTTAGGAGAAATTTATAGTTATTTTTACATATTAGGCCTTTTTTTGACACTTTTGCATTATCTAATAAGCATTTTTAAAGAATGAACACTGAAAAGCTTTACATTCAAACGATTAAATAGTAACTAATAATACCTTTGTTTATCAAAGCATGCACACTGTTTCAAAGACTGTTGTGTTGTTTGTGGCAACACTGTAATGACCACACTATTTAAATATTCAATTTTGAATACTATTATTTTGTTTGTACATTCATTAAATGATTGTAATGTCTGCACTTGTGTATGCTGATTTGTTGTCTTCAGAAGAAACACAGCTCAAATATATGTTGCTAGCTTGTTTAAACATTTAACACTTTGTAACAGTTGAATATTTCTGGTTTTGGTTCTAAAATAAGTAGGGAGATGGGCAGCTGATGTAATAGTGGACACATACCCTGCCACTGAATAATTGCTTTTATTCTGTTCTCAAAAAATATTTTCCTATATTGATGGTGGTATACCAATAAACTGAAGTGCTAGAGAAAATTATTTTAGACAAGTAGCTTTAAAAATTTAACTGAATAGTAAAGGACAAGTTTGTAATACACATGGTTTCTGCTTTCTTAAGTACAGAATGTTTAACTCAAGGAATTTATTAACTCTTTCTGGGAAATACATTTTATTTTTAAAGGTCATAAGTGTGAAAAGTGAAAAATTCCTTGTTTTTGTTACAGATATTAAAAATATGCCAATACATTTTTTTCTTGTAGTAAAATGAGTTTTTTTCCAGAACAATTACCTAATTTCTTTCTGGTGAGACTTCTGAATTATCCAAGCTTATGAAAGAAAGGGTATCTCTGGAGAAGGATTTGTGTCAGACATCCCCCTGCTCACCTACTATTAGTTCACACGTAAACCAAACTATGGTGCACGCTTCTTTTCTAATAGGTGACTCACCTTTCTACACCTTGCTTGACTTACCTATATATTTTTTTCAATGATTTTCTTTTGTCACACAGGGTCTTTTCCTTAAGGATCTGCATTTGAATATACTTTCTGATGATTTCTCTTAGTACTTAGTCTTTTTTACAATTAGGGGACAGGAGAAGAATACTATACCGCTTATAAAGTTGATGTCCACTTTAAACTTTTTCTTTGGGTTACAGGAAAAAGCATCCTCCTTTGGAGATGGAAGACGCTCCTTAGTTATGATGATTCCTCATAACTATGGTTTACTATCTTTAGCTCTTGCTTAAAAACTCATAGACAGTTAAAAAGACAAATGGGATTCTTCCTTTTATATATCAGAAAGCATCTTTAATGTTTAAATAATATATCTATTTTTAAAAATCTGTGAAAATAAAATAAAGAAAATCATAGAATTTTTTTGCTTAAGGTTCTAAATTGGACAATTTATTTTGACATTTAAAAACATGTAACAGTAAAAAGGAATATGAATTATTTATTTTCTTAAATCACTTTCTCAGAAAAAGAGAATATCATATACATCTGCCTAATGATTTAACTAAATTTCTTTTTAAATGTCACTTTATTGACATTTAAATCCTAAATGTCAGGGAGGAAATGGTTAAATCTTTAAATGTTTATATTCTACAAAAAGAGCTTTCTTGAGCAAAGATTTTTAATTAATTCCTACATTTTGAGGTTTATTTTCAATCACTCTAGTGGGAAAATGAATCAGTTTACTTATTTTCAGTTTTATAGCTATAGATGAAATCCATTGTATATAGATTTTGTTTTTCTTCAATCACTATTAAAGCATCTTAATTTTTTTTTTTTAAAAAAAACTATACGTTTTACTGTAACGAATGTACATAGAAAGTTTTAAGTAAAATAAGCTGGGCATAAGTACTTTTCAGATATATTTTGTTTTTTGCATATAATAATCTACAGTCATCAAAGAATAAATTTAAAGCCCATTTTATTCTCTGGGGTGGCAAATATCATTAATGTCTGTCACATTTATATGCTATTTTTCTCAGTTTAAGCATAACTACTTAAAAATTGCCTTCTGTTTCTGGATGGGACTAGATAAACAGAAGACTGGAACTAAGCTGGCACCACGATGGCCTTACATCCTTTCATCTCAGGATATGAATTTAAGAATGTTCATCCACAGAGGTATAGGGTGAGTTTATGAAGCTTGAAGTGGTGGAAACGAATTTGGAATTCCTGCAGGAGGAGTAATTGAAGCTTGGATCTCTTGGCATTGATCTCTTCTTACGACTGGACTTGGCGTTGTCTGAATCATTGGGATCGAATACTACAGTCATGGACTCCATCCTGGTCACGGTGTACAGGCTGCTTTGCCGAGTAGGATGAAACCTCGTGGTCTTGAGTTCTAGTTCATCATAGCTAGAAACTTTGATGAAGGGACACCAACGAAATGCTCTCTTGAAGCCAGCTCGAAATCTGAGAAGTAAAAGGCCACAGAAAGAAAAACATGTTTTCCAGCAAATATTTCCTTCTGTTATCACGGAAAACTCCACCAAGGCAGTTATGTCCCCTGGGTGTTTTTGGTATTAGTTTTTTAAGTTCTTCCTGTTTTAGTTGAATTTTATTTTTCCGTTAATGAGAAGCATCACCAACTAGCAAGAGCACAGCATCAGGTAATCAATATGCCAGAGAAACAGTGTACTCTTCTGTAGTAATTTTATATATTTACTTTATAACTGAATTCTACTGGCAGGATACAACACTTTAAAATGACATATTTCTTTCTTTTTTTTTTTTTTGAGTTGGAGTCTCACTCTGTTGCCCAGACTGGAGTGCAGTGGCCGCTTCCAGTCACCGCAGCCTCGACCTGCTGGGCTCCGGCGATCCTTCTGCCTCAGCCTTCCAAGTAGCCGGAATTACAGGCATGCGCTACCACGCCCGGCTTATTTTTTGATTTATTGTAGAGATGAGGTCTCGCTGCCTAGGCGGGTCTCGAACCCGCGGGCTCAGGCAATCCACTCACCTCAGCCTCCCAAAGGCGCAGGATTACAGGCTGAGCCACTGAGCCCGGCTTAAAATGACATATTTCAAAAGAGCTTTGGGAACCCTCCTAAACCAGAATTTATTTATAAAAATATGTGTTTATCCCTATGGAGATTATTTTTCAGCTGCTCAAAACAGTTTTGATGTCTTTTAGTGTTTTTGTCATTATTTCTGGTTTCACCTCTTTCAAGTCAGCAAAACCTCTCCCTTTGAGGACTTTTTTCATCCAGGAAAACAAGTCACCTGGGGCAAGATTGGGTGAGTAAGGAGGCTGAATCATAGAGGCCATGCCATTTTTTGATCAAATGCTGCTCAACTCTCAGCCCTGTGTGAGCAGGTGTGCTCGTAAATCAACCATCATGAAATGTGCAAATGTGTTGAAAGAATATAAAAAAAAAATAAAAATAAAAAAAAAATAAATAAAATCACAGCCGCTCACAAATATGCTAGCTGGTACATTGATGCCAATAGGTTCTTAGAACACTTACTGGGGGAAGCCTGTATTACAAGGGGCACACCCTCCAAAAAGAATTATGGTTTTTTTTTTTGGGTCACCCCCTTATAAATAAATTTACATTTATAAAGTCTCATTTAATGTTAGAATTAATTGCTAATGTTGAAAGCTTTTGTCATCATATGTAAAAGTACTAAATCCTTATCTTTAAACCATTAAGAAGTAATTAAAAGCAGATATACTGCTTGTGGGGTGGGCTGAATTGAGATAAAGCTTATATACTTTGCGAACAAAACTAAGAGTAAAATATTTAAGAAACTTAACACACAGTATGGCAGAGCCCCGACTGGGAAGAGAGCTTGTGCAAATACATAATGTCTCAATTCTACTTATGCATATGTTGGCTTATGAAGGTACTTACCAACCCTATGAAATTTAACCTTACCCCTCTGTGCTGACCGTACAACCAAGTTTTTTATCTGGAACCCACATTTCACACTTGTTCTAGTCTTACATTTGTGCAAATATTCTTAATTTTTATTTTTAAATTTTATACACATCTTATTTTTGAACACCCCAATATTTTCATAAGCCATTTCCAAGCAAGCTGCACTCCCTCTTATTCACCTCCCCTCACTATGCAGAAAGGAGTATTGAAATTCTTCTTGTCCTTACTAAATCTTTTACTTTGGACTCTATTTACAACATATTCTTTCTAATAGCGTCCACTCATATATGCTACTATCTCTCTTATAGAAATTATCTATATGTTTCTAGGAAGTAGCTTCATTTCTTTGAGGCTGTGAACACATTTTAACTTTCCACTGTCAATCATCAAGGCATTTCCTTTTTGGAAGTCGGTAAGAATCTGAAGAGTTTGAAAGAAGAAATTGGCCCATGTAAAAATCACCCAGTTAGAACCTGTAGGAAGGTATTGGGCATGTAATTATTAAGGTAAACAATTTTATAAAAAGGGAAGGGATTTTTTTTCAATGTTCTGGTAGCATTTTATTTAATATTTTTGCTGTGTACATTAGTGATTTTTCTTTAAAAAATTTCTTTTTAATTTTAGAGATTGTGGGGTACAATTCAGGGTTAGGTATACAAACGTTGATTATTCATGTACCCTTGTTGATGAGGTGTGCCCCTCCCTCTCCTAGTAGTTTCCCTCAATTGCCAATCCCCCCACCCCACCCCCACCCAGGGAAGGGATCTTAAAATTTAAGCACTGTGTCCTTTCAGTTAATTTTTTAAAATTTCATTTCTTCTGTATTTTAAAAGTGTACCATAAGTTGGAACAACATTATATGATTCCAGTGAAGCCAAGATTGACAAGAAATTTACGTTTGGTAGTTTTGATTTTACCTCTTATTCAGACAGCAGTAGATGATGGGGTTATACATGGTTGAACTCATTGCCAGCCAAAAGCTAGCTAGGTAGATCTGCTGGATGTATTTCCACCTATTTAATTGCTGATAGATGGCAGTGAGAATGAAGTAAAGATGATAGGGCAGCCAGCAGATGGCAAATGTCATCACAACAATCATCATCATTTTGACAACCTAGAAAGAAAAAAGAAGTCGTTTTTGGCAAATATAAAAGATTAAATATAATAGTTCCAATAACTTACCATAAATCATACTTTGCCAATACAGTTAAATATACAGCATGCCTAAAACACATAGTGAATATCTTTTTAAAACATTTTGAAGCAATATGGGACAGTTGCTTAAGGTAAGTCTCAAGAATGTATGTTGTGTCACTATCCATTTATTTCTATTCAAGTTAATGGGTAGTGTTAACCAAAACATGATTGAGGAAAGTAGATGCTTTCAAAAACCTAGATAACCTGGACTGAGAAAGGCAGGAGCTAGGATGTGGCTATGCTAACCTGCATTTTACATTAGAGGAGACATTACACCAGGCAAACTGACTGTTAACTCACTATGGAGGTATACTAGGCTACAAGTGTTAGGCAGACTTCTCAGTATGTTTCATACATTGACTATAGTTTAAGATTTCTTTAATACCATACTCACTAGGCAATCTTATGAATATTAGTTTGGTTTCTCTTGTAATCTAATATTTGGGAAGGTTTTCCCAAACAGTGATTACAAATATTTACATTAGTGTTAAGTAAAATACTAGCTTTAAATTTGTAAATAGGCGATTGGCTTATACAACTGTTTAATACATCAACACATGATTTAGGTAAGCATAAGAAATTTCCTTTGATTCTACACTTTTGAGTCATATTATTCTGGACAGCCCTAGTCACAGTAGAATGTCAGACTATTTCTTTTCCACTAATTTAAATTCCTGAAGGACATAGAGATTGTGTTAATTTATTAATTACCTTAATATTTCCAGCATCTAGCACAGTTCCTAGTATAAAGCTGGAGATAAATCAATATAGAATAAGTGAACAATAAATGACAATATACAATTTATAAAAGGAGTTTGAATGAAATGCTGTTTTGTGTGTCATTAAATAAAAGAAGATCTGTTACATTGTGTCTATAAGAAAAGTAGACTCAGAACATGGCATAGTGTATAATAGAAAACTAAAATAAAATTTTCTGATTACTTTATTTTAAATTTCTTTTCATTAAACTGTATGCTAAATTTGTCCACATTCCTTTTGGGAATTTAGAAATAGTAAAATGTTCAAAATGAGGTATAGTAAACAAAATAATTTTGAAGCAGGCGGATTAACACAAATCAGAGAAAGTCCTCACATCAATCACATCTGAAGCAATTTAGGACTAGGAAAATACAGCATTTATAAATTGAATTGTCATTTGATGGCAAGTTGGAGATTCAGATGAAAGTTGGCAAGGTTATATCATGAATCTAGAAATAGACAAAGCATGAAATGGATCAATGTGGAAGGCAAAGCTTCCCTAAAGGCATAATATACCATCCAGGTTAGCTGGTGGAAAATTGGCCATCAGAGTTGAAAATCCAGGCCAATATTTCACAGAACGTTATCGCTGGCCACACCATGTAAAGTCTTTTGATTTTCTCAGTGTTCTTCAAATTGCAGTTTTTCTTCTGAAAAACTGCATTCGTGTTTCTACATTTTGTTTCTATTTCTTAATCATGCTTATGAGAAATACAAGCAAAAGCTGTAATTTAATTTACATTTATACAATGTTTTGCATAGTTAACAACTTCTTAATTATCTTTCAGTAGCATGTCAGGAAACTGAGGCAAAGACCTAATAGTGAATCATGGAAATAAGTAAGTTCTTTAAAACTCACACCCTTAATAAGTCTTTCCAACCATCCTACTTATAGTTTAAAATATTTGTTGAAGATCTATTCAGTATAGAAAATAATATTGAAAAAAGCGGTAGAGGACCAATTCCTTACCCTGAAACTTATAATGAAAATGTAAAATTTTTGTAAAAATGTATGCATAAAAATGTGGTGAGTATAAGCATGTACTATTACAATTCAAAATAATATTTATGATAATATACTAGTTTACTGTAATACAGAATGACGCATACCTGCAAACTGCAGTCCCAGGGAATATTAGACTGAATGAAATGTGTTATTTTGATATTTTCATTTGTGAATATGTGAACATCCTACTATTCCTTGACCACAGTAGGCAAGTTCCTTCCTTGTTATCCTCCCTGCCTCCTCCCTATGCCTAAAACACTCTTCCACAATGATTCCCTCTGGCTACCAATCTCATATCCTACAAGTCATTGCACTATTGTCCTATAAGGGGTTGACAACAGTAGGACACTGCTGGGAGGGGGACGTGGAGGGAGTGGGACACATCACATCACCAAGGACACCTGATCCTAAACTAGTCAAAGTGAATGCCAATTGGAGGCCCAAACTTCACCTGTACATAGACAACTTATGGACCTTTTCCTGAAGTTTACTCCACATCTATAAAATAAAAAATATAAAACCAAAAAGCATGACATTTATTGCTCTTTCCCCTTTCAAAGCAAACAAATTCAAATGTAAAGAATGAGTATGAAAATAATGCAGCCATTTTGTTTGAGTTCATGAAAACATTAAATTGTAGTCTAAGTAAATGTTAAGAGCAAGGAATATATCTATAAGAATGTGACCATGAAGTTCATTTAAATATTTTCATACAGCCTGAACACAACCTTAATTACGATGACAACAATGACCACAATGAAATTGTTTTCCAACAATAACTGAAGACCCATTAAAGCAAACAATTTTTTAAAGTGACTTTCATCTGTCAACATAGAAGAAGTTCAAAAGAAACATGCAAAAATTTAAAATGCACGTGCAGAATGAAACGGAGATTTGAAGTTACTTCTAATTCATGTATATAGGGCCTTTAGAACATTGTTGAAAAAGATTCAAAATGTATTTTTAATTGTTTAGGAAAAACTTGCAAGTCCCTGAAAAGGATGTTTTAGAATGGGAAACAACTGCTATAATATATTTTATTTCTTTATTTCTATAAAATACTATTAAAGAGTTATTTTAGACGATTAACTCACAGAACCCTACCTTTGATGTAAATTCAAAAGCAGACTCTTGTGTGAAGAATTTTCCTGTTTTGCCAAATGGCAAACTCACATGACTGTAATCATCCTCCCCATAAAAGACCAAGATTGAAAAGAAAACTAGAACGACAGACGGCAAAGACTGAGAGCAGTTGCCACTGTGTTGTATAGCTGGATAATAGTACTAGCACAGACTATGAGTGTTAAACAGGAAAAAGAATCAGTAGACTTCTGGAAACTCCTGAGATTTTTTAGGCGATGAGTCAGATAGGAAGATTCAAATTTTACATTGTTTCTTAACACATGCTTATTGCAAATTGAAATAAAGGTTGATGACTGATGTTGAGACTTTCATAAAGATTAAGGACATACCCTGCATCTGAGGCAAAGGGAGTAATTTTCCATGGCAACATGTACATTTGTGGCCACCTATTGTCCTTGGCACAGAAATTTGCAAGCTGGAAGAGGAAGGGAAGTGGAAACAAGAGATGCAGCACTTGTAAAGTTATAGTGCCTGTTTTTAGGAGTTAAGAATTTGCTTTAACTACATAGCAAGATGGGAATGCATGTCTATAAGCTTTGGATATCTTTTCTTCATGGGTCAAAAAAGAAAAATCTTTGATTTTTGTAACTTTTACAGGTTAGATTGAAATGCTCACAGCAGTTTTTATCTATTACATTAAATTAGTGTAAAATGAATGGTTTGGAGATTAAGGTCATAAATGAAAGAACTAGTATAGGAAATTAAATAAAATAGTGCCATCTATTTTTTAAAAACCCGAGTCATATTATTCAGTACAGAATTTATTCTTTTTGTATGTCAAATTAAAAATGCCTAGTTTTGTGTGACCAAAAAAATTTTTTGCTTTGATTAGAATCTCCTTAGAACATGTGTTTTGAATAATCATCCCAAGGCCTATACCCTACAACTTGTCCATATCTTTCCTCAGCACAAAAGTTCTTAACTGGATCTTTACATTTTTTTAAGGGACAATCACAGGAGAGTTTATTCTAAGCGCAAAAATAATATACTCAAGAGCAACATGTTTGAAACAAGTATTTTGCATGTGTGAAGGACAGGAATTTTAGGGAGCCAGTGTACAGAGTTACACGTTAAACTGCAGGCTCCAAATGTAAATGTTGAAGTCCCAATTCTCAGTAACTCACAGTATGACTGCATTTGGACTTAAGGTCTTTCATGAGGTAATTACATTGAGATGAGGTTATTAGTATAGGCATTCTTCCAATATGACATGTTCATTTAAAAGAAGATAGTGCACGGACACAAAGAGGAAAGAACATGTGAAGACATAGGATTGCAGACATCTGCAAACCAAGGAAAGAGATCTCAGATGAAACTAACACGGGTGATAGACTTTTAGCCTTTGGAATTATGAGAAATAAACTTTTGTTGCTTATGCCAGTCAGTCTATAGTATTCTGTTACGGCAGCCTGTGCAGACATCTCAAATATAATGTCTGAAACACTGACAGTGATATTATAGGACTTTATTTCAGCAAAGTAGGAGACATAATACTGTATGGAGTTTCAGTGAAAAAGAAAGATCCCCAGAGGTGTTTGGATTGCCTGCAGAATTGCTTTCAGTGATGTAAGGGATAGACCAGGACATCCATTTCCTTAAGTTGAGCCTCTCAAGGTATATATAGCCTTCCTCACGAGCACTGTTTTTAATGCTAATTCCCTTGCAGCACACAAAAGGCATGCTTGCTGACTGAGGTGACAGATTTTTCTTGGATTTACACATCTCAAGATCCCCTTGTTGAATCTGTCACTTGAACTTAGACTGAAGCACGATCCCTTTAACTAAATCAAAGACTTCTCCGTTATCACACAGGTATTCATCTCTGAAGGAACAGAACTTATCAGACTTGTTTTAGAAGACGATAATTAAAATAGAAAATAGAAAACAACTTTAGAAAGTTTAGCATTAGAAAAACAACAGAAGTAAGTTTATTCACCAATATTTCAGTTATCCAAGTAATCAAGACCAATTACAACAATTTTTAAAAAGGAAATCCTCACATTTT